TTCTTCTTCTTCTTCTCTCTTCTTCTTCTTCTTCTTCTTCTTCTTCTTCTTCTTCTTCTTCTTCTTCTTCTTCTCTCTTCTTCTTCTTCTTCTTCTTCTTCTTCTTCTTCTTCTTCTTCTTCTTTCTTCTTCTTCTTCTTCTTTCTTCTTCTTCTTCTTCTTCTTCTTCTTCTTCTTCTTCTTCTCTTCTTCTCTTCTTCTTCTTCTTCTTCTTTCTTCTTCTTCTTCTTCTCTTCTTTCTTCTTCCTTCTTCTTCTTCTTCTTCTTCTTCTTCTTCTTCTTCTTCTTCTTCTTTTTCTTCTCTTCTTCTTCTTCTTCTTTCTTCTTCTTCTTTCTTCTTCTTCTTCTTCTTCTTCTTCTTCTTCTTCTTCTTCTTCTTCTTCTCTTCTTCTTCTTCTTCTTTCTCGTTTTCTTCTTCTTCTTTCTTCTTTCTTCTTCTTCTTTCTTCTTCTTTCTTCTTCTTCTTCTTCTTCTTCTTCTTCTTCTTCTTCTTCTTTTTCTTCTTCTTCTTCTTCATTGACCGGCTGTAAATGGAAAGTTCTGGCTGTTCGTCCATGTGGACTTTGACTTTGTTCCAGGGCCTGAGTTTACATCCATTTTACTGACTTACTTGTGTGCATTTGGTTGCTCCTCGCCGCTCAGCCAGGCCCACTCCGAATTCGAAGGAGGCTTCCATTTAGTCGACTTTTACGACATGCTTGATGGGGAGGCAGTTGGTCTATTCTTGTTTTCCCCCACATTGGGAGCCTGGAATCTACAGTGGGAAACATCATAACCAACTTTCGTTGTGAAGACGGCTCGTGATTTTGCTCACTTTTTGATTCTGTGAAATTTGTTACGTTATTAGTATTATTAGCTAGTACGCATTCCCCCAAATTTACATACACGACAATCTAAATGTATGCTTGACTAACTTTTGAAGTCACGTTTCACAAATGTAAACTGGGTTATCTTTTCCTAGATTTCTTCACAGTATCTTTGTCTCTGTCCAATTAATTTGTATGACCTAACTGTTGTGTCCTCTTAAGAGGTCTAGTTGACTGAACTTGACCTGATTTAATTTAAAGGGTATTTAAAAGCGGGAATAGACTTCATTGTATCGGCTTTTATCTTATGTGACTCGGCTTTAAGATAATGGCTGGCCAACTGCCTTAACTCTATCGACGATCCCCACGGATCTCTGAAAAAAGTGCATTTGCGAATTTAGAGGATCGAGTATGAAACCGAACCCACGACCTACACAGCACAATGTAAACGGTTTAACCACATCGTCATTAAAAACTCCTGCTTAATCCAGTAATCTGAGAAAAAAAAAAAAAAAAAAACACTAAAGGGCCTTTTTCCACACCTTTAGGCGTATACGGCATATAGAGCTAGAATTATATTTTTATAGACCAATCGGCACAAGATGTGTAATGTGGTCAGCATCACACCGGCCGTCTTTACTTCCCGGGACTGCACCCGGTACCCACTCAAGGTTGGGTCGACCTGGGAGCCAAGGTCATTTTTTTAAAAAAAAAGACTTTGTCAGGGAGCGAACCTACGACCTTCCGATCCGCGGCGAGCGTCTAGCCGCTCGGCCACGGCGACTTACCCAGTAATTTGGACAGGAGGGCAATGTAATCAGCAAAGTTCAGATCGTTCAAGCTGTCCTGAGTCCGGTGATTTACATTTCTGGTGGCAGTATAATCTAAACGGAGTGCTGGTTCCACAATAAAGTAAAGGACCTTTTTCCACGCCTTTGAGGCGTATTGGGTATATAGGGCTAGACCTATATTTATAGACCAAACGGCACTTGGTGGGGGGATGTGTTCGGCCTCACGCCAGTTGCCTTTATTTCTCAGGACTGTACCTGGTACCAGTTCAAGGCTGGGTCAGCCTGGGGGCCAAAGTAATTTTTTTTTTTAAATCCAGGCCTTGTCAAGAACCAAAATCACGACGTTCCAATCCACAGCCGAGCATCTAGCCGCTTGACCACGGCGGCTTCCAGCTTATTTCACAATGAACCTTACTATTATTGATTATTTAAACCCTTCTTAAGCCCCCTTCCCACCCCCCACCCCATGCCCCCGGTCCCATAGGAAATTATTAGGTGCTGAGGCCCTTCTACCACCAATTTTTTAAAAATTTGTTGAGTTCCCCCCCCCCCCCCAACCCCCAATACCTCCTTCCCTCAGTCATGTTCAAATGTTCTTGCAAGAATTTCTTTATATTTGCTTATTATTTTATATATGTTATATTTTTATTTGTTATTAGTATTTACAGATATAGACACCCCCCCCCCCCCCAAATGTTAACACAGTAATCGCCCAACAGTGAAATTATCTTTTAATTGTACCATATTTGCAGTCTTTGAATACATTAGGTGTTGCATGAAGTTTTTAAAATAACAACATGTATAAATATAAATGAGAGAACAAGAATTCTTGCTTGCTACATACATCCAGTTTTAACATATGGCTGTGAATCCTGGACAATCGGTAGGCAGGTCAAACAATTTCTTGAGGCCTCAGAAATGTGGTTTTACAGAAGAAGGCTTAGAATTCCTTGGACAGCCAAAAAGAGCAACAAAGAGGTTTTGAAAGAGGCGGGAGCCCGAAGACAACTTATCACAGACATCAGAAGGAGGCAGTCATCATTTTTCTGCCATGTTGTGAGAAGAGGGAAAATAGAACATGTTGTGACCACTGGAAAGATCTGTGGAAGGAGGGATAGAGGAAGACAACGAGAGAAGATGCTTGACATTCTTGTTGCATGGCATGGAGGTGTGTCGGCACACGAACTGATACATGCTGCAGGAGATCGCAGATTATGGAGAGGCATGATCGCCCACGCCAGTCGGCAAGGCACCTGATGATGATGATAAATATTTTGATAAAAAATTGATTCAATCACGAAGAGATGCACACAAGTTACATTTGATGTATGAAGTTACTACACGTGCTCAAAGTGGTTCCCATTAGCCTCCAGACACTTATCTTAACCATCACACAACACAAAGCTACTTTAATTCTATCTCAAATGGCGGAATATGTCACAAAATGATGAAGTAGCCTCTATGAACACGTTTATGTGTTTAATTACTATGTATACACATTTTACTATTGTTATTATTACATACTCAAAACAAGGTTTCAGCCCCTTGAGCTCCAGCGCTCTTAAAAAATATGAAGTGCTATAACTAAGGATTTCTTTTGTGGTGGCGCCTCAGTCTAGGCGTGAAAGAGTTCTGTACTTACTGCCTATTTAATTTATTCATTCATTATCCTGTCGCGCCATTTTGTGTCACATAGGGCTCGCAGTCTTTTCCTCCATTCTGTTCTTTTCTGTGCAGTCAGTTCAATATCATAGATGGAATCTAGTCCAGCAGCTTTGGCCTCTTTCATCAACATTCATCTTAGGGTTTTTGTAAGGCATTCTCGCCTTCTCCTTCTGTTGCTTCTTCTTCTTGTCTCTACTCCTGGGATGCCTTGTAACGTCAGGGCAGGAAGTGATCTTTGGATCGGACCCTTCTGGTCGCTACGTATATAATACTTGTCAGTGTTATTATATTTCTGCGGTAAACACCCTGCACGGTCGACCTCTGGTTCTGTTACCGTTGTATCTGTATACATTTGCTCTCTGTGGTGCCCCGTCTGATGTCAATCGAGTTACATGACCAAACCACCTGATCTGTTGTCTGTCGATACAGTTCAGTGTTGGTTCAGAGCCGACTCTCCTTCTGATATCATCGTTCCTAAGTGGATCTGACCTTGTTACACCTAGCATATAACGTAAACATTTAATTTACTTCGTGACTATTTTCCTTTTGTCTTCTGAAGATAGTGTCTGTAATCCCTGTATTTCCCATTTTATTAACTGTTTGGCGACTCTTGCTTTTTTATTCTCAGGATATGTCCATTGCAGAGCTATGTTTCTACATTTAGAGTAACACATAATTCGGCAGTTATATGGTGACATAATTGTTGTTATGTTATATTTGTTTATTTGCAGGCTAACCGAACGATAAAACTGTGGTCTGTTATTTCTTCCTAAAAGGCGACACTGCAACCACCGTGCTGTAGCGGATAGAGGCTCAGGTGCGGATCCAAAAGTCGCGGATTTAAATCCGAACTGTGTGGCACTTTTTTTCGCCTCTAAAATTGACCTTACTTCTCAGTCGGACCCAGCCTTAAATGGGTACCAGGTAAAGTCATGGGAAGTAATGGCGGCCGACGCGATGATGACCACATCACCCACTGAGTGCCGGTGGGTCTGTAACATATAGGTCAAACACTATTTGCCCAATGTGCCTAAAAGCGTGGACAATGGTCCTTAAAAAGAGGGACACTACAGTTGTACACATTTAAGTCGGAAGGCAGAGAAGCCACCGTGTCCATGGAATATCATGTGTCCTAGCCTCACAGACACCACCTCAAACACAGGCGGTTTTATTTGTGTAGGGCGGTAAGCTATGGCCTTCTCTCATGCTACGTTTTTTTTTTTTTTTTTAATTATTCAAAAGGGGACCATATTACTCAACACAGAAACAAAATCTATATGAAGAACTTGACAGTCCTTGCTAGGAAGTGGACAGAATGATCAGCGCATAATTGTTATCTCAAGAACGGAAGAACTGCACGCAGAAGTGGCCCCGTTATCATTCTGTAGTCTCATGGGCTGAATGAATAGCATAATCCTGCAGACATCATACCATTCTCAACTACGTTTGTTACGTTAACAATCCGCTCAGGTGCGGCAAGTACTTCAGCTAATACGGCGAGAATCTATTGGTCAGTTAAACTCATTCAAACTCACGAGGTGTTGAATGCTTGCCAGTCTACAATTGCTAACAATTCAGATGTGTAGTATTGAAATATAAAAGCCGTTTGAATATTCACGTTTCTTTTGGAAACCAGACAATTTAGAAATCATTATAAACTAATAACTTGCTTTATTAATTAAATAAAGAGCCTGTTTGTTCTCCTGTCAACAAATCAACACAAGACCAAGGCATCGAAATGAGACTTCCACAAAGTTCGATACTGTCTCAGCTAAACGCACTTGTAGCGTTAGCTGCGTTAATTCTGTTTATTGTGGCATTCGCGACAAATTACTGGTTGGAGAAGTACTTCTTGTTTCCCATCAACGTTGCAGATATTGCAACTATTCCGGTCAACGTGAATATGGGTCTTTTCACGGCCTGCAGGCTGGAACATTATCGCAACAATCATACCACTGAAACCTGCTCTCCTGAAGGGGGTAAGTATTGGTTAATGTATTTTGATTATACAATTTACAATGGTTCCTCGGAATTAGAGAAAATAATAATCAAGAGAAAATACAAGGAATTACAGAGAGAACGAACTAACAGTAAACACCCACAAGACCCCACCAGCAGTCTCAACAGAAAGCAACATACAACAATTTTTCTATGAACAAGACACTGCATGCGCAACTACCACATGCATAAAATAAAGACTGTTCACTCCCCACAGTGTGCCTGTCAGAAAGGACAACAAACACATGAGCACATTATGCAGACCAGACCACTCTGCCTACAACTTCGAAAAGACCTGGCCTCAAGAGCAAAGTGTGCAGAGCAAGCTATGTGGAAGCATGAAGGACCTGCTACTTACTGACATGCGAGTTTGCAGAGGCAACCCAACTGATGTCTGATCTGAGCATGCGAAACGGAAAGCAAAGAAGAAGAAGAAGAAGAAGAAGAAGAAGAAGAAGAAGAAGAAGAAGAAGAAGAAGAAGAAGAAGAAGAAGAAGAAGAAGAAGAAGAAGAAGAAGAAGAAGAAGAAGAAGAAGAAGAACATAATTTGATCCCAAACGGCGTTCAAATTCCAGATTTTTCGAGCTTGAAGGTAATTTTATTCCTCTGAAAATATTGGAAATTATATTAATCTGTTCCAGGGTCCAACAAACTCAAACTTAAAAAAAAAAAATAATAATTTCCTAAACACAGGACTGTAAATTTAGTCTTCTTCTTCATCACGTTCACTGGTTTTAAACTCTAGCAGAAGACTCTGGGTGTTTGTCTTTTTCCTACACACATTAGTATACACTGTAAATAGAGTAACACTTGATGATCATATCGGAACACAAACACACACACACAAAAAATGCATTCAGCGTACATTCATCAACATGTTGACATAGCGAATAGAAGTACGAAGGGAAAGTGGGATTTATGGTTATTATTGTTTGAAAGGTAAGTTACCTTCCATGATAACATTGTGAATCCTTTCTGGTGTTTCATCTCGTGTTTCATATTGTAGTAGTTCACCACTTGTAGAGGGTTTGGGGAAAGAGGGGAGGGGGAAGGGGGTCTATCAGCCTGGCACCTTAAGTAACTTAAGACGGCCTTGGTCAAAAGATCTTGGATTTCATCAGTACAAATCCTTCCAGCTTTGCCCTCATTCTCCCCTGAAGAAATTTCTTCTGCAGTTACCCGCTTCTGCTGTTGGTGAAAATGCGGTAGCTCTTGCGTTGTCAGCTCAGTCAAGTGATCGACACGTAATAGGCGTTCGGTTTTCAATGTGGTGTTCGAGATCCGAAGCAAAATTTACTTGAAAATTTTGTTTAGATTCCAAGTTGTTCCAGTTCTGAGGTGTTAGAATCTGGAGGTGCCACTGAATAACTGATTAAAGAGAAGCGCGGTAGCGTAATGGCTAGACGGTCGCCTTCCGGCCCGAATGTCTCAAAATTCAAGTTAGCACCAAAGCAGATTTATGTCAAAATTGACTTTGGCTTTCAGGTCGACCAAGACTAAATGGATATCAGTCAATTTCCTGAGAGGTAAAGGCGGTCGGTGTGTAGTATTTGTTATTATTATTCACCCCCCCCCCCCCCCCCACCCATAGTCGATACAGCTCCAGTTAAGGGTTACTAGAAAATAAACATTAGGGTTTTCTTACATTGAGCTTCAGATCGGTATTAATTAATGTATTAAGCGAAAACCTAGAAGTCATAGTGGTAGCAGCAACTACTGCAGCGGCAGCAACAGAAGTATTAGTCGTAGCAGTAGTAGTGAAAGCAGGAGTAGTGTTAGTACTAATAGCAGTAGTAGTTGTGGTGGTGGTGGTAGCAGTGGTGGTGGTAGCAGTGGTGTTGGTGGTGGTAGCAGTGGTGGTGGTGGTGGTAGTAAAAGTGGTGGTGGTGGTAGTAGTGGTGGTGGTTGTGGTGTTGGTGGTGGTAGCAGTGGTGGTGGTGGTGGTAGTAGTGGTGTTAGTGGTGGTAGCAGTGGTGGTGGTGGTGGTAGTAACAGTGGTAATGGTGGTGAGGACTTTTTTTCTGGTGGTTTGCAGTACTTCCATCTTTCTCTAGGCAACGTTTTTTCGCGCAACTGTACCAGCACACTTGTTCATACATTTTGTGGTGAAGAAGAAGAAAATGATAATGAAGAAGAAGAAGAAGAAGAAGAAGAAGAAGAAGAAGATGAAGAAGAAGAAGAAGAAGAAGAAGAAGAAGAAGAAGAAGAAGAAGAAGAAGAAGAAGAAGAAGAAGAAGAAGAAGAAGAAGGAGAAGAAGAAGAAGAAGAAGAAGAAGAAGAAGAAGAAGAAGAAGAAGAAGAAGAAGAAGAAGAAGAAGAAGAAAAGAAGTAGGAAGAGGAGAAGGAGGATAAAGAGTTCGAAGAAGAACGACCCTCCAAACTCAGTATTAAGTAGACTCATCAGCGACAACCACATGGAAGTTCACAGAACTGGTTCTCTTGTGGTTTTCATGCTGTAACTCCATCAATTGCTATTTTAACCTGTGTTTACAGCTGCTGTCTGGCAACTCCATCAATTGCTATTTTAACCTGTGTTCACAGCTGCTGTCTGGCAACTCCATTAATTGCTATTTTAACCTGTGTTTACAGCTGCTGTCTGGCAACTCCATCAATTGCTATTTTAACCTGTGTTTACAGCTGCTGTGTGGCAAAAAATCTCAGCCGGTCTGAATGTAGCAGCACTGGTGTTTGCCTTTGTCGGCACGTTGGTGGCATTCCTAGCTGTCACTCTAGAGAAACTGGCTAATGGACTGAGGGCTAAGTTGGGAATTATAGTGTGCTATGTTTTAACATGTAAGTATTGTCTTTTAAGTCTCTAGTGTGGGTTCCATTGACCCCTTTAGGGGTGCGGGGCTGGAGGGGGTGGGGTTGGAAAGGGGGGGGGGGGGTTGATCACTTCTGTTTTAATAAGTTTGCTGTAAAAAGGCGACTAATTAAGAATTTGTCCAACTCGGATATGCTGGGCGAAAGGGACTTCTCCCCCAATAATTTCTTGCGTGAAATGGGGTCGCACCTATGGAACAAAGCCTTGTCTAATTGTTGTAATGATAACGGTAATAAAAAAGGTATAATAATAATACTTATTGATAAAACCACGTTGAACCCCTGCCCCGCCACTAAGATCCAGACTCCTAATGTTTCCCTGTGGCAGCACAACTGCCAGACCACACATCGTTTAAATGTGAACGCAGAAAAAACAATCCAGTTCCCGTATGCGAGGATTTTTTGCTATTTGGAAGTCCCACCCTGGTTGTAAGGAGGATGGCCATAGCAATGCAAAGATTGAACAGCCTTATAAGTCTATAAGAACCAGCAAGGAGATCAAAATTAGAATTTTGAAAGCATGCATCTTCCCTGTGGATGTGAGTCGTGGACTATCTCTCAGTCCTTGAGAAAGAGAATAGGGGCTTTTGAGCTGAATTGTTTTAGAAAGACTCTCAGAATATCTTGGACAAAGAAGATGAGAATATTGACATCTTAAAAGATCTGAACATCAAGAAAGATTGGCTAATAAACAGCATCCTTTCTCGAAAGCTGAAATATTTTGGTCAAATCAAGCGCCACGACGGATTGGGAAAAATAATAGCAGAAGTCATGGTACCAGGAAGGAGGGGCAGAGCCCGACCGACACGAAGATGGGCACAGGATATGGGTGACTCCTTGAATGTGAAAATGCATGAGGCGGGAGAACTGGCGAGAGACCGAGTTTCCTTCAGGCAGACTGTGATGAAAGCGATTTTCTGCAAAGGACCTGCTACATAATGATGATGACCCTGATTGTTGCTGGAAGCTCTAATATAATCTAACGGTTGAACGGGGTTTCTGGGACCTTTCCACATGTGATCCTTATCTGAATGGTGGCACTTTGAGTCAGTGGGTGTTTATCGCTTGGTGTGATGTCCTGGTGGTGTAAAAAGACATTAGAAAGACAAAGTCTAAAAATAATTGTCTGATTTTGTGTAAGGCGCGTTTTTGTAGTGACTGGTCCATTGGATTACGTTCTCGAAATGTCTTTCTTCCTCACAATTGCAGCTCTGCAGTCTGCCAAGCTTCAGTAAATTAATTATAAAGGTACCTGGCTAAAAACATCAATAATTGGTAAATATGATAATTTTAAGATTGGCGATCTTCCATCAATCTGACCAGTTGTTACTCGAGTCCATTCGTTACTGTCTAATTGTTGTAATCTGTCTTGATGAGGATTGCTTCGTTTGTTTTTCTACCACTTCATGACATTCTGTGTATTCTTATCAAAAACCCAATCTCTGCCGCGAGTTAATGTCCTACGAACTGAGCACTGTCTTACGAACTGAGCACTGTCTTAGGAACTGAGCACTGTCTTATAAACTGAATACTGTCTTACGAACTGAGTACTGTCTTAGGAACTGAGCACTGTCTTATAAACTGAATACTGTCTTACGAACTGAGCACTGTCTTATAAACTGAATACTGTCTTACGAACAGAGCACTGTCTTATAAACTGAATAATGTCTTACGAACTGAGCACTGTCTTATGAACTGAGCACCGTCTTACGAACTGAGCACTGTCTTATAAACTGAATACTGTCTTACGAACTGAGCACTGTCTTATAAACTGAATACTGTCTTACGAACTGAGCACTGTCTTATAAACTGAATACTGTCTTACGAACTGAGCACTGTTTTATTAACTAAGCGCTGTCTTACGAACTGAGCACTGTCTTATAAACTGAATACTGTCTTACGAACTGAGCACTGTTTTATTAACTAAGCACTGTCTTACGAACTGAGCACTGTCTTGTGAACTGAGCACTGTCTTATGAACTGAGCACTGTCTTATGAACTGAGCACTGTCTTATGAACTGAGCACTGTCTTACGAACTGAGCACTCTTATACACGTATAATTAAACTCTAATTATAGTTTTTTGTTTAGGTGGCTTTTCTGTGGGTCCTTTAGTCATGTTCCCCATCAATCGAAGAATCCAAGTGAAGCCCAACATGAGTCCCTTTCAGGTGGACTTCGACTTAGGTTGGTCCTATACTGTGGCGGTTGTCAGTACCGGCATCTTCGCGGTACTTGTGTTGCTGAACACTATTGACATTGTATGGTAAGATATGTTTATGTCCCTGATGCTTTAGCGTGAGTTGAGTTGAGTTGAGTCAAGAATTGACGTCACAGCACTTGGGGAATTCCCATGCATGCTCCGTTCTTATCTTCAGCAGCCAGCGCATAGTTCCAATACTGATGGTAACGGTCACAATCTGGTTATATATCCGTCTTGCCTTTCCTCTGAGTAGTGAGCCGGCCAGACCCGCTGGTTATACCCAGGTACCTAATTTTCTCCAGTCCATAATAATCTTTACTGATTCCGTTGCTTGTTCCCAAAGGGCCTTGACCACATCTGCCTTATCATGTGTCAATTTACTAACCAGTGTTGCAGATCCAACCAATCTGTCTGCCTGTTTATTACCCACTACGCCAGCATAGCTATCCAAAGTATGCTTACTACCTGTGACTTTTACTAGCGTCAGCGTGAAAAACCAGTTAACTGTTCTTTTTAGGACGTAGCATAACCAACTGAAAAACTTTGTTGTTGTTGTTCTTGTTGTTGTTATTTGTGATTTCACTAGGCAATTTTACGTTCAGTAGCTTCTATGGGTCTGGATAGTCAACGCTCCATTCCACTGTCGAAATCAACGCAGTGCAATCTGCTGCCATCCAAGTCGTCTGCAGCTGAATCGAACCGGGTATTTCTGATTACAAATCGTTTGCAACGCTAAAACTACAGACGCCGACTTTAACGTGAGTAGGTAAAGTAAGAAAGAACATAGGAAGACAGCAAATCAAATAGTTTGCCCACTTATGTCTCCCTTGACACCCGAAACAGTAAAAGAGGAGGTAAAGAAAAAGAAGGTAAAGTCAATGTGGCGGGTAACTTCGCTTTACACTAGCGAATGCACTATGTGCACTTTACAGAGGGAACTACAAACAGTGAAACATCATACGGTCTTATAGTAACCCCAGCCTTGCTGGTTAAATGAGAGGATTCTGGGTTTGCCCACATCTATTCCCTACTGTTATTAAATTGTATATTTAAATGTATTAAAGTTATACTAGCTTTTGTTCACTGACACAATTACAGTTAAAATGAAACTTCAGAAAACTGTAAGAACATTAAAACTACATTTATTTTGAAAATTCAAATGATAATTAAATAAAAGGCTGTGGATAAAATTATCCTGTTATATAAGGTAAGTGGTCAACTGTCCACTTAGCTGTAGCTTAGGTTTATGTTGTCAGCTTCTGACTAAGCTTGGGAACACATCAGGCAGGCCGAATCTTCCAGTCCAGTCCGGACAATCGGGTATCTGCAGCTAAGCTTAGGATCTACTTCTGGACTACCATCTGGAATACAATCTGGAACTAGAACAATAGAACAGTCCTTATACAAACAGTCAGGAAGGTTCTAACTGGAGACAACAATACCCCCAGTCTTTAAACTGTTACACTACACACATATATATGGAGTAGGATAGTAACAGGTGTTCACATTCTACTGGTATAGAATGGGAATGTGTACAGAACATGGTCCATAATCCTGATGGGGAAATATTTAGGAAACCAGTTTCATAAATACTCTCAAAAACAAGAGTTTACAGCACACAAAAAGAAAGGACATTCCTCAGTGTAAATTGTTCTGATGTCTGCACACTAGTACTCCTTTGAAGGGTTAACATGCTTACACACACAGACATACAGTCATATTTCACAATATTCTCATTTTAACCACATGGGTTCACATCACAATGAATGAGAAGCAGGGAGTGAGTTTACCAAGAGCAGAAACTCATAACAGGTGCTTTGCACTGTTTGAAAATAAATGGGATTGACATATCTCCATACTGGGTGCTGGTATAGATGTCAAAATATACAATCATAGATGACAATGGGCTTTCCATCTGTCACAGTATTAACATAAAATATACAACACTCACTCCAGTTTAAATCTAAATCCACACATGTGCTAATCTTATTCAGCAGAGTTTAGAAGTAGGGAAGGTTGAAATATAATTATTACAATTGTAAGGCCACCTGCTGCAGTACTGAAATATTCCTAGTAATGGTGGAAATATATATACAACAATAATAATTACAAGCATAGGCCATACATCTCTTTTCTGCTTCTTCTTCTCTGACAGTGTGAATATTAAATTCAGCCTCACTGTGTTACTCACTTTTCAAGCTCTTAAACCAGTCTCAGAATTATCTGGACTAAATCTAAATTAAAGCAAGACAGTAAAAATTTATCAAGCTAATATCACCATGAGGTGAAATCAACTTAGAAGGGATTAGGTATAATGAATATAAACTTCATTCCTATTTTTAATTGTCTAAGCTGGAAACAGGAACTGGCTGAGATTTCACATGAGGACATAATTATCACTTAATTAATATAAGTATAATTATTAAAAATACCAATGCACGTTTCTAGTAGCAAATAAACATTAATTCAATCATCAAATCGATAATATGTTTGCATACATGTACATACTAGATCATAAACGTGGTTAGTGAGGATAAAGAAATTTATCATAGTTTTTGAGCCATGTGGGCATTAAATTTCAGAATTTAACCTGTAAAATTAATTCAGAGGAATAAGCAGCAATACATCAAATTAAACTTATTCTTTTAACTCACCCCTGGCAGGGAATTCAAACAGAAAATTGGACCACAGGCAGACTAACAACTTTAGGTCTGAACCGGTCAATTTCTGAATTGAAAATGGAACAGGAAATCAGGAGGAAGTAACTCTTCAGTTCCCCCTTGCACTACTCTTCGCCTATATTACCTTTCAACTCTTTAATTATAATTTTGCTACAATAAAGCATTAAGAAAAAGTTAAGGAAATTTCTTAATTAATCCAGTGTTATTATGCTAATTAAAAGCAATAGGAAAATGTTTAGAACTTTGGTAATAATATTATCTAAACAAAGCAATCTTTAAAAGGACAGAAACAGCTGTCCAGACCAGCTCGTCACAGTCAAGGACCCTTTCCCGCGCCTTCAGACGTATTGAGCATACTGGGCTAGGTCTAAATTTTATAAACCAATTAGCACTCAGTGGCTGATGTGGTTAGAATCATGTCGGCTGCGATTACTTCCCACGACTGCACCTGGTACCCATTCAAGGCTGGGTCGACCTGAGAGCCAAGATCCTTTTTGAAAAACAGTCTGCTCCCGTCAGGACCTGAACTCTCGACCTTCCAATCTGAAGCCAGGTGTCTAGTCGCTAGACCACTTCGGCCCCGTGTTAAATAATGTTTTCCTATAAACGTCTCTGTCAAACATCGAATGATATCCCAATTCTAACAAAACCTCAGAAAATGACAACCACAGCAGTACATTAACTAGACTATTGCGTACCGACCCGAAAGTTTAGGGTTCAAATTCGCATGCAATGTCGATTTCCATAGGACGACCTAGCCTAAACTGGGTACAAGATAATCTTGTGTGAAGTAAAGGCGGCCAGTTGTTGTTGACCACATTATCCATAGAGTGTGCAATCGTCTGTAAGAATGAGGACGTGAAAAGTGGGTTCTCTACAAATAGCTCAAAATGATGTTGGTTTCAACAGATGCTATTTATGAGTAATAGCAAACCTCGCCAGCCCGCACAAGCAGCGATAGACACGCGCTGACACCAAGTGCTGACATTTTGATGAGGATCACCCGGGCACAAGTTTCAGAATTCCCGTTTAACCGGAAATTATATTAGGGCCCCTGACGACAGTCAGAGTGGGGCTTTGAAATAATCAAAAATTGCCTTTTGCTGTGGGACGGAGTTGAAATGATAGTGAATGAGTGACTTTCAACCGCACAAGGAGAGATAAACATTCGGTGACACAAAGTGCCGCCACTGAGATGAGAATAAGCCGGACACAAGTTCCAAAAGCTACGTTTAGGTTATAATTAGGGTACCTGACGACAGCCGGGTTGGAGCATTTTAAAAAAATGGCGTCCTATACTGGGACGGTCTGGTGCGAAAATTATACGTAGGTAGTTATACCACACCAGGACATCACACAAGCGATAAACACCCGGTGACACAAAGTGCCACCATGCAGATAAGAAAAACCCGTGGAGAAGTCCTAAAACCCATTTCAGCCGTTAGGCCATATCTACGACTAGGCCATATTTATTGTCCGGCTATATTCAGGCCCCCCGGCAAAAGCCAGGGTTGGGCTTCAAAATAACAACAACAAAAAACAAAAACAAAAACAAAATTGCATCCCACGAGATTCAATTGAAAATTATATAATATTATCATCATCATCATGTAGCAGTTCCTTTACCGAACGTCGCTCTCATCACGGTCTGTCTGAAAGAAACTCGGTCTCTCACCAGCCCTCCCGCCTCATGTACTTTCATACTCAAGTTCCTTATATCCTGTGCCCATCTTCGTGTTGGCCGGCCCCTGCTCCTCCTTCCTGGTACCATGCCTTCTGCTATATTTTTTTCCCAATCCGTCGTGGCGCTTGATATGACCAAAATATTTCAGCTTCCGAGACAGGATGCTGTTTATTATTATTATTTTTATTATTTCTTGATGTTCCAGATCTTTCAAGATGTCAGTATTTCTCCTCTTCTTTGCCCAAGATATTCTGAGAATCTTTCTATAGCTCTCAAAATTCCTATTTTGATCTTCTTGCAGCTGCTTAACCAAAGACTTTTAAGTCTCCATTGCTAATTATTATAGAGCC